AACTTCGTGTTTTCTTTTTCCCTGTGGTTATCAGCATATACCTGGATCACGTGCACCTACAGTGATTTACTTGCATATATATATACACCTTCAGCAATGGACTTGATATGTGGAAAGTGTAGTTTCATAACGAAGAAGAGAACCAGGGAAAACACAAACATCTTGACTAAATTGGGTTTCTTTAATCACTAACGTTTCGTAAAAATCATTTTCCATCATCAGAGCCTGTGAATTGTTGTTTTTCGCACTAAGGCTCGTCTAAATTAAGGTAATACCCCCTGTATTTTTTTTATTTTATACTTTCTTATTCCTGATTTTAGCTTTATACGTAGGTCTCTCGTCAGTTATGTCGGTTTTAAATTGGATTGCTCTTTTTAAAATTTTATCGAAGGTAAATGTTCGTATATGTTTTTTTTGTATATCACCTATATTTTTTAAACTTTTCAAAATTTTTTGTTTTCTAGTCTCTGATGATGGAAAATGATTTTTCCGAAACGTTAGCGATTAAAGAAACCCAACTTAGTCAAGATGTTTGTGTTTTCCCTGGTTCTCCTCTTCATTATATAAATATATATATATATATATATATATATATATATATATATATATATATATATATATATATATATATATATATATATATATATATATATATATATATATATATATATATATATATATATATATATATATATATATATATATATATATTTTGATAAAATCACACGGGAAAATGGAAACAACAGAGTACCTTAGCTTTCGTCTTTATTCAAGGTACTCCGTTGTTTCCATTTTCCCGTGTGATTTTATCAAGATTTATCTTATCCACGTTTTCATTGTGGATTTACATGAATATATATATATATATATATATATATATATATATATATATATATATATATATATATATATATATATATATATATATATATATATATATATATATATATATATATATAGTTTTACCCCGCCTAACGCGGTTTCACTTAACGCGTTTTCGCATATACGCGGTGCCTTGCCAAAGCTGAACTTTCACTTAACGCGGATTTTTTCCACATATACGCAGTGAGTGTCCGAGACGCTATTTTTAGATTTGCCCCACCAGCCACCCTGCCTGACTGCCTGTTTTAGCTCATAAAATTCATACAAATTACCAGGCCAGAATATAATTTACATTGCTGGAATTCTTATAATTTGGTGATCATTTTGAATATAAACATCATATATTTTGCTTTAAACTTACAATTTTTAGATAAAATTTTTTCTCTAGGTAACTATGGTATCTTTTGTCCAAAATATATGACATTTATATTCAAAATATTCCTGGTCTTACAAGGAATCCAGCAATGTCAATTATATTATCCTAACTTTAGTTTGAGGTATTATTTATTAAAATTTAGTGGTTATCCCACACATCTCCTTGGGACGGTTGGTGGGGGGTGGGGGGGAGGGAGGGACCAACCGACCATCTGTTACCGTGTGAAGAATTATTATTTTTTTTTATTAACTGAAGATATTTGTTTTAGCTCATAAAATTCATACAAATTACCCGGTCAGAATATAATTTACATTGCTGGAATTCTTATAATTTGGTGATCATTTTGAATATAAACATCATATATTTTGCTTTAAACTTACAATTTTTAGATAAAAATTTTTCTCTAGGTAACTATGGTATCTTTTGTGCAAAATATATGACATTTATATTCAAAATATTCCTGGTCTTACAAGGAATCCAGCAATGTCAATTATATTATCCTAACTTTAATCTGAGGTATTATTTAATACTAAATGTTAAAAACTCTGGAAGGGAGGATTGGTGGGGGGTGGGGGGGAGGGTTGGGACTGACCGCGCGGTTGGAAGAGGGGGGGAGGCAAGGTGGGGTACTTTGATTGACAGATAGTGTCGTGAAGATTATTTTTTTTTTTATTAACTGAAGATATTTGTTTTAGCTCATAAAATTCATACAAATTACCCGGTCAGAATATAATTTACATTGCTGGAATTCTTATAATTTGGTGATCATTTTGAATATAAACATCATATATTTTGCTTTAAACTTACAATTTTTAGATAAAATTTTTTCTCTAGGTAACTATGTTATCTTTTGTCCAAAATATATGACATTTATATTCAAAATATTCCTGGTCTTACAAGGAATCCAGCAATGTCAATTATATTTTCCTAACTTTAGTTTGAGGTTATCCCACACATCTCCTTGGGACGGTTGGTGGGGGGTGGGGGAGGGAGGGACCGACCGACCATCTGTTAGCCGGCTGTGTAGTGTGAGAGGGGGAGGGAGTTGAGTCCATTATTTGAATGGACATTAACTTGGCGACTGTATTTCTCTATTTCTCTTAAGTATTAATTGTGTGCATGTACCATCATAAAATTAAGATGTTATTTTTACTACAACATAGGTATGTGCCTTCAAAAAGTGGAGTTTGGGGGTCGGGCCGGTTTCTATTGGAATTAATCCCATATGTTCTGTTGTTCACTTAACGGATTTCACTTAACGCGACCCTCTGGACTCGACCGTAAGTGGGGTACAACTGTATATATATATATATATATATATATATATATATATATATATATATATATATATATATATATATATATATATATATATATATATATATATATATATATATATATATATATATATATATATATATATATATATATATATATATATATATATATACACACAGTATTACCCCGCCTAACGCGGTTTCACTTAACGCGTTTTATCATATATGCGGTGCCTCGCCAGAGCTGAACTTTCACTTAACACGGATTTTTTCCACATATACGCGGTGAGTGTCTGGCTCGAGACGCTATTTTTAGATTTGCCCCACCCGCCACCCTGCCTGACTGCCTGTTTTAGCTCATAAAATTCATACAAATTACCCGGCCAGAATATAATTTACATTGCTGGAATTCTTATAATTTGGTGATCATTTTGAATATAAACATCATATATTTTGCATTAGACATACAAATTTTAGATAAAATTTTTTCTCAGAGTAACTATGTTATCTTTTGTGCAAAATATATGACATTTATATTCAAAATATTCCTGGTCTTACAAGGAATCCAGCAATGTCAATTATATTATCCTAACTTTAGTTTGAGGTATTATTTATTACAAAAAAGTTAAGTATTCTGGTTTTCCCACACATCTCCTTGGGACGGTTGGTGGGGGGTGGGGGGGAGGGAGGGACCGACCGACCATCTGTTACCCTGTGAAGAATATTTTTTTTTTTTATTAACTGAAGATATTTGTTTTAGCTCATAAAATTCATACAAATTACCCGGTCAGAATATAATTTACATTGCTGGAATTCTTATAATTTGATGATCATTTTGAATATAAACATCATATATTTTGCATTAGACATACAAATTTTAGATAAAATGTTTTCTGAGTAAATATGTTATCTTTTGTGCAAAATATATGACATTTATATTCAAAATATTCCTGGTCTTACAAGGAATCCAGCAATGTCAATTATATTATCCTAACTTTAATCTGAGGTATTATTTAATACAAAATGTTAAAATTTATTTTTTTCACCCACTCTTTCTCTTGGTGGGGGGTGGGGGGGGAGGGTTGGGACTGAGCGGTTGGAAGAGGGGGGAGGCAAGGTGGGGTACTTTGATTGACAGATAGTGTCGTGAAGATTATTTTTTTTTTTTATTATTAACTGAAGATATTTGTTTTAGCTCATAAAATTCATACAAATTACCCGGTCAGAATATAATTTACATTGCTGGAATTCTTATAATTTGGTGATCATTTTGAATATAAACATCATATATTTTGCATTAGACATACAAATTTTAGATAAAAATTTTTCTCTGGGTAACTATGTTATCTTTTGTGCAAAATATAAGACATTTATATTCAAAATATTCCTGGTCTTACAAGGAATCCAGCAATGTCAATTGTATTATCCTAACTTTAGTTTGAGGTATTAATTATTAAAATTTAGTGGTTTTCCCCAAAAAATTTCTCAGAGAGGGAAGAGCCGGCAGTGTAGTGTGAGAGGGGGAGGGAGTAGAGTCCATTATTTGAATGGACATTAACTTGGCGACTGTATTTCTCTATTTCTCTTAAGTATTAATTGTGTGCATGTACCATCATAAAATTAAGATGTTATTTTTACTACAACATAGTTATGTGTCTTCAAAAAGTGGAGTTTGGGGGTCGGGCCGGTTTCTATTGGAATTAATCCCATATGTTCTGCTGTTCACTTAACGCGGATTTCACTTAACGCGGGACCCTCTGGGTTCTATTGACCGCGTTAAGTGGGGTACAACTGTATATATATATATAATTTTTTTTCTTTTTTAATGTTCTAAGAATAGCTTCTTTCACACACAAACCATCCTCTGGGCGATGTGACATGTGCTGTTGCTTAGCCTGGCAATCACCAGGGATGGGCAGAACCTCCCGTGCATCCCACGTGGGTTGCATGTTTTACACCATGGCAAGATTGCATATCATATCTTGGAATAGATATGTACCAACAGTACAGTATATCAATATTTTGGCCGATAACATTACCAAAATTTTGGCCTATACCGATACTCCAATACTTATGAATAGCTGATACTGATACGCTTCCAAAATGCACAATTGCAATAATATTGATAAATACCCAATACTGATATGCTATTTCATATGATACACAAACTCTGTAACAATTAAATGTTTAATTTGATGCAATGAAAGTACTGTATATTACAAATATGTACCGTATAGTTATTTAATATATTTGAATATTACTAAAGTGCATTTAATACTGTCAGTTTCAAAAGCATGCAACAAAACCCTTAGACATTGGAATTATATTCCAACATTCCCCTAGTATTATTTATTTATTTTAGAAAAGTGTAGTGAAACTTTTCAGACATGTCAATTGTGTCCAAGACTGTGAGAGTGTTAATGCATACTGGAGTGCTTTATTGAAGTACACGTCCTACACAAACCTGTTTTCCAGTTTTCTGTCTTTTCCACAGCTTGATATTCTGCTGAATGGTCACGTTATACAAGAGTTGTCAACGATTGTTCATATTTCTCAAGCCAGGACAATGGGGAAACACATCTGTGAGAAACTAAGGGAAACCTTACCCAAACAATTGTTCCAGGTATGTTGAGACTATATAAAGTAAATAGTACAATGTATAGGGAGTCCTTTCAACCAATCCCATGCCGACCTAACCCATAGTACCTGTTAGCTGCCAACACCCTTGTGCACACGGCTCCAAGCAGCCCTAAGCCTAGTGCTGCACCACTGTTCCCTCCCTGGGACAATAGCACATCACAAGGGGGCAACATAAGTGTGAACAGGCCTTACTGGCAGTGCATACGGCGCAAACATACCTAATGTGTGAGAAATTCACAGGGCTTGAGATCATAGTCAAGCAGCAAGTGCACATGCAGTTCCTTCTGTGAACATTGACACACTTCTGCTGACATATTGACAGCACCAAATTGGAAAGCTGCAGCCACTTAGTCTCATATGAAATGCTATGCAAACTAGTTCAGTTCCAAAGTTATTAGTTCAGATTGTCATTCTTGTTGATAATGATAAATTATTTATATCTCTTTGCATCTATTGTATATATCTGCTTATAATTTTCAGGAGAAAGTTTCATGCAAGAACAGAGAATACATTAGTAACATTTATATACATATTATAGACAACAGGGGGGAAGGTGGCACTTGGACATGTGCCTGACCCCCTGCAGGTACTATTGGTGTTGGCAGTGAGTGGGCATTAATTATAAAAAGTGCCGCAACACATCTGACACAGTTAATTTCCAATACTTGTACATTGCTTTTCACAGCATTTACTGTAACTTGGTTAAGATAGATTGATAACAATTAGTAAACACTCGCTGGGTGTGGCATATGGGACTTCAGCCATTGTTTCCCATATGGCTCTTTTGACAGTCAACCTGGTGTCCTTCTTGCCTCCACACACACACACACACACACGTATATGAACTTTTCACAGTTGCAGGTGTCCTTCGCTGTGAAGTGTTATCATAGCTTACAGTCTCTCCTCGACTTACGACGGGGTTCCGGACCGACGACCAGGTCGTCAGTCGAAAAGGCGAAAATAATACATCAAAAATCTAAAATGGGTGTCTCTTTTTCTTCTCAGCACCACGAGAACTCTCACTTTTACGCTTGCTAGCCATTTTAAAGGGCATTACAAACGAGAATTTTGTCAGTACACAGTGCGATCACTAACGTGGAGACTCGAAAATACATAATTTGAAAAATATTTTATACGACTGCGGCTGTCGTATGTCTGGGTGGTCGTAAGTCGAGGAGTACCTGTACTTTAAATTTTTTGCTGATATTCACAGTGATATTGGCTGATTCTTGCATTTTCACTCATTTCTTACTAATTTTGAGAAAAACAACTCCTTGTCACATCCAGCTCCATCGGTAGGTCCTAGCTCATAACATTTCCTCCTGTCTACTTAATTTTATTAAAATCATTTTCATAATTTTACTGGTAGATTGCAATACAAGCTGCTGTTGGAGGAGAGATCCTCGCACGAACCAATATAAAAGCCATGCGGAAAGATGTCCTCGCCAAATGTGTAAGTTTAAACGTACTTCAAAGGATTAGACGATATTGTTGTTGCTATATAATGTACTAACAACATTAGATATGGCTGAACATGGTACAGCAGTGTGAATCATTGAAAGACTGAATGCAGAGTGTGTGTGCTCTTGATTATGGCCTCCCTCTATTATAATGGGGAAGGGTTATAAAAATAAAGAAATAGAAAATGAAGAAAAGACTCAATGTTAATTAAATCTATAAGTCAGTTAAAGCAAAGGTGGATTAGTTATTAAGAGGAGTTTGAGAGTGAAATTTAATTACTGTATAGGGACCAAAGAAAAACAGATACCTGAGATTTAGAAGATGTCAGATTAAATAATGAAGTACATTACTTAACAGTATCATAATCTGAATAGTGAAAAGGGAAGTGAAAGGAAAATTTGACCCACTTGGCTAAGTGAATTCGTCAGCAATGTTATAAACTTCTTTATTGTGCAAGATGCATCTGGACATGTAACCATACAAAGACAAGTAGTGTGTGAATAGTTGGTGTGGATTTTCCAGAAAAAAATTTAAACAACATTAGGTGATTAGAGAGAGGGGGAAAGATGAAATTGAAAACAAATTATAGTACTACAAAGAATAGTAGCTGAAAGAAAAGAATGGCTACTGAGTTTGGGTAACTAGAATGAGTAAGATAATAAATTTGAGTGAGATAATGTGCTATAATGTTAGAGATATACAATAACAGATGAAAGGAAAAAATTAAGATTTTATGAAATGTCATGTTCTCTGTATCATCCTGGAAGCTGAAGAAAGAAAGTTAGTAAATAAATTAAAATTGTATACTAGTTTAAATTAAAAAAGTCAAGTTGAGAAGCGATACCGGGAGAAATAGGTAAGTTTAAAAGAAGATAGAAATGGGGAAAGAGGGTGGTATACTGGTATAAGGTGTCTGGCAGTGGATGGAACTATGAATGCAAGGGGGGGTTGGATCCCCCCTTTCATCAGAAAATTCCAATACTATTTCTTTAATGCCATATTGTACTCAGGCATTTTTTAGTAAAATGTAATTACTGTTGATTTCAGAATATCCTAGTATCTGGTGCACATGGCCTCAAAATGCCCATGATATTGTCAGATTTCACAAATTTTCCAGGTTGGGCTTACAGTGCCCCCTCCCTAAAAAAAAACCAGCTGAGTGGGCTTGCTGTGCTTGCCATGTTCCCCCACCCACAACTGCCTCTGAAGTGATGAATTAAAGTAAAGAGTAAAAGTGAAATAAAGTACAGTACTGTAATTACAAAGTTGGAGATGTAGAGTGTAGAGGAATTACTGATTCAACATTAGTACAGCATATGATTATGAAGCATATTTTTCATGTAAATAAATAAAATTAAATTGGAAGCAACAGTAATGCGGTACTTTAGAGCACTGCCTGTGTATTGGATGAATAGAATATAGAAAATAAGAAACTCTCAAATTAGGAGATGTGGGCATGAGAGAAATGTAAGACAGAGAGCTGACCAGACTTTGCAAAAATGGCATAGCATATTGAGTGAATGGAAAGTGAAAAATTGTTGGAAAGAGTGTAAAGTAGAAAGAAGAGGGGCAGACCAAGAAGGATATGAAAGGATAGGGTGAATAAAGCACTAGAAATGAGAAGGACAGCTATTTAGGAAGTAGGGGTGTGTGTGAGTGATAGGAGAGCTTGACATCGAGTGAATTATAGGGATGTTGCAGCACAAAGCCTAAATGGATGACAGTAAATTAAGAGAGTCTGGGTTAGCTCTTGATTCCTGCCAACCCAAAATATAGTGGAAGGGGTCTTAAGAAAAAAGTCATATCACCTACTTTCCTTCCTTTATTTAGGGTGAGATGATCCAAAATACATGTAGTACTGTTTCTCTGCTATAAGAAGACATTTTCTCACATTTCAGTATGGAGGCGATATATCAAGAAAGATGAAGCTGCTGAAACGTCAGGCCGAGGGGAAAAAGCGGATGAAGATGTATGGTAATATTGAAATACCGAGGGAAACATTCATTAACATTTTAAAAAGATAACCTAAGTTGTTCAGTTTGCAACAACCCTTCAAAATGACATTTGGATAAGCTACTTTTGAAGTTGTTTCAATTTCCTCCAGGCAGGGAATTTCAGTGGTGTATAATGTATATCATGTTGGTGAGGTACAGACTTTCCCCAATTTATGAAAGGGTATCTGAAAACCTTTTGTAAATCAGATCACATTTTCTTCTAGGCTCCCATTATAAAAGCTGAGACAAAGGGCCAATTGCAAGAACGGTTATGGGGTGTACGACGCCATTTACGATGACCTTCTTGCCCTGGTCTTTTTCAGCAATATCGCCTTTAACACATGGAATTCTGCACTTTTCGAAGCTTTGGATGAGTCTCAAAACAAGTTTCCTGGTGGGAATTATTAGCTAGTGCTGTACTCAAAATATCGAAACTTCGAGATCTCTCCAGAGCTTCAAAAGGGAGGTATTCCTGAAACAAGATCAGGGCAAGAAGGTCATCGTAAATGGCGTCGTACACCCAACGACTGTTCTTGCAATTGGCCCATACTCCTACAAAGAAAACATCCCTAAAATTTCTTGAAATGCTGCAAAATGTTTTTAATTAACATTTTTGGTGTCCTTCAGCACAGTACAGTACTGTGGCATTATATTACAGTTATAAACAGCAGTTTTTTTTTTTTAGTAGTAGTAGTACTGTAGTAGTATTTATTTTTTTAATCTCAGGTCTTTGACTTTATAGTTTTTCGAGTACTTGTACTATTGCGTTTTTTTCATCTGAAAAAAATGCCCCGCCCCCTCCTCAAGAGTTACAGCTGATTGACTGTTGCAAACCTGTCCGATTTTGTCCTGAGTAATGATGTATTTCTAATAGAGTTTATTCATAATCGTTGGGATGACCATTTCTGGCGAGAAAGATATATAGCTAAATTATATAAGATACATACCTTCATTATTTCAAACAGGAGGTAGGAAGTTTATCAGAAGTATTATACGTGAATTAACTGATAAACTCGAGTAGCAAATTCACGTTTTCGGAGGATGCATTTAATATGTACTTACTGTATTTTTACCTACAATAAGATATACTACAGTAAGACAAACTACATATCAGTAATACAGGCTGTACCTCTCTAGTCCGGCAACCTCGGGACCTGACCGGTGCCGGACCATGGAAATTGCCGGACCATGGAAATTCACCCTTTTCTTGGATAGATAGTGACTTGTGCTTATGCTTGGAAGCACTAGCACCACTTTCTCTGCATCATGGTCTCTTTGAAGGGTTAAATGTCGTATAGTAGCTTCTCAAATTTCGCGAGTTTTTAATTCTTAACGTATTTTATTGGAACACAAAAAAATAAATAAATAAAAATTTTGACGGCGGAAACTTGAATTTCGACGGGTTTGAACGGCCCGCCAACGTGCAGACGACGTGCATAATCGTGTAAACAGCGTCATTTCTCTTATGTACAAAAGATTCATTATTGTTTATTACTGAATGTCTTTTTCATTGAATTAATGTTTATGTGTGCAAAATGAGCAATACAATTCATTAATAATACGTAGAATATTAAAACACACGAGGAAATGACACAGCATTGTTTTCGTTGATTACAAAACCAGTGACTGACTGGTTCTACATATAAAACTGAAGAAAATAAGACCTTGGTTGTAGCTGTAGTAAAATTAATATGGTTGTTTTAAGTTATGTTATTTAATGTTAATAAATGGAACAATAGAAGTAGCTAACGATAATGGTAAAGAAAAAAGAGAGATCGCGTATGTAAGTGCGCATGCTCACATGTGAAAACATATCGTCATTACTTTACATAAGAATATGAAAGCAACACTTATTTACTGTTCATATATATTTTAATTAATGTTTCTGAATTTGTTTTTATTGAATTAATGTGTGTGTGCAAAATTAACAATACAATTTATTAATAATACGTGGAATATTAGAGGAGACGAGACGGCTGCCGGCATTGTTTATGTTAAAGCTTACGAAACCAGTGACTGATTGGTTCTACATATAAAACTGAAGAAAATAAGACCCTGATTTTAGCTGTAGTAAAATTAATGTAAAAGAATTAATATGGTTGTTTGAAGTACCTGTAATGTTATTTAATGCTAATAAATGGAACAATATAAGTAGCTAACCATTAATGGTAAAAAAAAAAGTGAGACTGCGCGTATGTAAGTGCGCACATGTGAAAACATATCATCATTACTCTACATAAGAATATGAAAGCAACACTTATTTACTGCTCATATATATTGAAGGGTTAAATGTTGTACTCTGTATAGACAAGCAGAGAGAGAGAGAGAGAGCAGCCGAACTGCTGGATGTAAACAAACCTTAATTTCCCGCGGCTGTTTTTTTTTTTTAAGGGGATTAGCCCACCCGGGCATAGGTCACTGACCCAGATTGGGGCCTGAGGGGCAAAAATTTAATACTCCTGTAATAATAATAATAATTCAGATAGTAAAAAAAAAAAAAAGCTGCCTATCTACCTATTGGACAAACTAAAATCGGTCCGGACCACGGGAGTTTCCGGACCACAGAATGCCAGACTAGAGAGGTACAACCTGTAGTAAATTATGCCAAAAAAAATTTTTAAAAGATCAGAATCACATTGAAATATTTACACGGCCGTTATCAGAGGCAGGAAAAATATGAAGTATAGTTCGCAGTCATAATTCCCGCCTCTGCTGACGGCCGTGTAAATATTTCAGTGTGATTTTGATCATTTAGAATGTTGTGATATCTTTTCATAACATCCTCGGCATCTTTTTCTTGTATTTTTCTTACGTCCATCTGCCTCCAGGAGAGTGTGCAATGTTCTTGTGGCTGATTATGGCTGAGGTCCTTTTCCTTGCTTTAATGTCTTCTTTGGGAGTATTTGGAGTTAATTACAACACTAAAGATTCTCTGAATTGTCTTTGGTCCATGGACAGGTTATTGCAATATTTGTTTTATAAAACTTGATCATTTATCACTTCTGTCCCTACAATGATGAAGAAAGGTAGTTTCCTGTATCATTTCTTTGATTTCCGAAGTGGCGAGTAGTAGAAATTCAGCTGATCAGCAACTTCTACACCTTTGCTTTATTATAGTCAAGGTCTCTTTCAGGTTTGTAAACAGCTTCCCCTTGCTCAGTTATCTTGCCACTTGAAATAAGAGCACCACCGTGCTCTGGTACAGTAGAAAGTAAAGATCCTTTTTTCTTTTCATTTAAAAAATTTCACATCATGCCTGTTTTCTACTGCTTTCATTTCCCTCTTTCGTTATGTTTGCTTTTACCACTTCTTTGCTGATGTGCTTCCTGTTTGTTCTTACAGTTCCACAAATGTAAATATTTTTGGTCAAAAGGTACTCTACTAATACCACTGACATACACCTAATTACAGTGACCCCTCCGTTGAGGAACTCAATCCGTTCCAGAAGGTCGTTCATTAACCGAAAAGTTCATTAACCGAAACCATTGTTTCAATGGGTTGTTGGGTAATTGGTTCCAGCTCACCGAAAATTTCCTAAATTCATCAAAAATGGTAGAAAAGTTCACTTACTTTGAGGTGTGTATGTAGAAGGCTCCTGGATGATGATGATGATGATGGGATTTAGAATGGGGGTGGAGGAGAAGGAAGAAGAGAAGGCATTGGGGTGGAAGAGAAGTCACCCCATGGTGCCATTTCACCCATAAAATTTTAGCTCTCTTGGTGTAATTCAAGATTATTTTCTTTAAATCAACACTGCACTGCATTATATATTGTCAATATGTAAAATATATTTCAAAATGACCAATAATTTGCTTGGAAACACAGAAAAAAAGCGTTTAGTTGAAGAGAGTCTCAAGCAAGATGTTACCTCCAGTGAAAACAGAGAGAGACTAACTCCTGTTTGCTGTGTTAAGAGAGGCTGGATGCCGTGCATTAAACTAGTCACTTTACCTTCAATTATGTTCAATAATTGTTAAAATGACTAAAAAATTTAATATTAAACTTTTAAAATTATTGAATAGTATAAACTTCTTGATATTTACTAATATAGTAAGGAATTTAAGCCCTAGAACCGATTAATGTATTGGCGGACTGATACTAAAGCTGGTTGCCCGGTCAGTGCAAGCGAAAACATGTTGAGGTCGGTTCGTAAGAACTTCGTTAAACGAATTTTTTTTCGTTAACCGAATTGAAGGCAGTTCGTTAATCGAAATTACGTTAACCGAGGTGTTCGTTAAACGAGGGGTCACTGTATCTCCATACACTGTACAGCCCATACCCAGCATTTTATCAAACATTCTTACTGTTTGTTTACATAAGAAACCATAAAAGTTGTGCAAATAGCATTTCATTGCTTTAATTTTTTATTTATTTATTTTTTTTTTTTTTACACAGGGATTAGCCCACCCAGGCACAGGTCACTGACCCACATCAGGGCCTGGGGGCGAAAATATAATAATAAATAATAGTAATAATAATAATATCTATTATTATTATTATTATTACAACAATTAATAAAATTAATACCTGTAGCAAATTAATAAAAAGAAAAAGAAAAAAAAATAATAATAAGATTAATAAGAATAAGAATAACCATAAATAAACACAAAAACGAAAAGAAAATCAAGAGTGTGAGAAACAATATACTGTACATTATGTATGTTGTGTTGTCCAAGTAAGAGAAACAATTGAGACCCTGCAATTGTGTGTAAATGAGGCAGAAAGTCAGATGAGCTACCTGGGACTTGGTCATAATTTTTGTGATGCCATATGGCAGCAGGGTCTACCATTTGCCTTGGAAATAAATAAATTATTATATGAATATCACTTCAATGTTCAAATCTGACTTAGAAATACAGTGGTCCCTCTGTTAACGAACACCTCGGTTAATGAAATTTCGGTTAACGAATTGCCTTCCATAAGAATCTTCAATTCGGTTAACAAACAAAAATTCGATTAACGAAATTCTTACGAAAACATGTCAACATGTTTTGGCTTGCTCATCGGCTGGTAGATTAGTCCGCCAATACAGTAATCGGTTCTAGGGCTTACATTCGTTTCCATTGGAGCAAATATCAAGAAGATT